GGGATTAGAGCAGAAACCAGAACATGCTTCCTCAAGAAAGAGGTGTGCATGACTGGAGTAGATCGAGGAAATCCAAGTCAGTAGACCATATACTTGATCATTCACATACATGTGTATATGTATACTTATACATATGCAAATATTAGACAAGTATTATATTTATATATAAATGTACATTATGTAATATGTACTTACCATTACCATTATATTTTATATTATAAAACATACAATAATGTAAATATTAAAAGGCTGAAGAAAATAACAAATGAAAATTCTGAGTATACCATTTTGTTCTCCTATTCTACAGACCAACATTTTTAGACAATTAGGAGTTTTGGAATCTACAAGATATATGTACAACTTTAACATATTCTACAGTTTATGGACATTCTGTCACTTCATGACTTCTCCAACTTTCTATCCAACTCCACATGTCCTTAGATTCTGAGGGCCATGCCTGCTTTCATGTCATTCTACCTCCATGCCAGGACATGGCTATTTTCTTTTAATTTGTTCTCTCTACTTAAGGGATCACATACTCTTTTTAAAAATCTGACTTCTAAGCTTACTCATGTGACACCACAAATAATATCTCAAACATAAATGTTTGAGGGAGCTAGAGTTCATAGGTTGGAATACCAGAAAAGAGAGAGAATGTACTGGAGATCTGCAGTCTTGACCTGAGTACCATTCACTACTTTTACGGGAGGAAATCACTGAAACTAAGGAAAGACCACCCAAGAGTATTAGAGGAAACAATCTCCAGTTCTCACACAGGGCTGGGAATAGTTCTTTTCCCACAAGCTGGAGTGGAAATCCTCATGAGTCCTAAGATTTTTTTTTTCAAAAATGCTTTTTTGCTCAGTAGTGATAACAAATTAAGCCTAAACTGAAAGCTGTTGAGTCCTGACTAACAAAGCCTAAAAGCAAAACCTAAAGGATCACACTGTTTCCAACAACATAACCATGACCCAGAATAAAGCCCAACAATGTGTGTATGAACACAGAAGTATCCAGTACCCAAAAGTAAAATTCAACACATCTGGCATTCAATCAAAAATTACCAGGAAATATGAAGCACCTGGGTGGCTCAGTCAGTTGAACCACCAACTTCGGCTCAGGTAATGATCTCACATCACAGTCGGTGAGTTCAAGCCCTGCCATCGGCTCTGTGCTGACAGCTCAGAGCCTGGGACCTGCTTTGGATTCTGTGTCTCCCTCTCTCTCTCTCCGCCCCTCCCCTGACACTCTTTCTCAAAAAAAAACATATATTTTTTTTAATTATCAGGAAATACACATAAGAAAAATCAAAACAAATCACAAAGTACAGATGATAAAATTAGCATATAAAGATAGTAAGCATACAGAATACAATTGTAATGGTATAAGAGGCTAGAGGAGAGATTGAGCATGTTAGGGGAATCAGAAGATATAAAAATACCTAAATGTAATTTTCACCTTTGAAAATCTTAGTATCTGAAATAAAATATATTCATTTACCTATGAAAATTACAATAGCAGATGAAATGTACAATATCAGAGATTAAAAATACAATAAAGGGAAATAAAAAGCAAAACAGTGATGCAGAAGCATCCTGAACAAAACACGACATGAAAGTATACTCAAATTGTGGTTATTTCAAATATTGCTTGTTAAAATGTAGGCTAAAGTTTGCCTTTTTTGTTGTTAGTCTGCATTCAAACTCGGTGGTTTGGCCATTCCAAACTATCAATGGGCTGGGGCTGCTCTAGCTAAAATTGATGTCTGGGTCAGTCACGGATCCATGCAAAGGCATTGTTTGGGCAACTTACAATTATTCAGGGCTCAGAAAACCCAAAAGTAGGGTGCAGGAATTGTTGGAAGTGTTGTGTTTAAGTTCAAATTAGTGCACATTTTCTGTATTCTCTTGTAACGTTTACATAACTGTAAAACTTCAACTCTAAAAATAGCATCCATGAGGGGAGGAAAACAGAAAGGGAGGGAGGCAAACCATAAGAGACTCTTAAATACTTGAGAACAAACTGAGGGTTGATGGAAGGTGGGGCAGAGAGGGAAGTGGGTGATAGGCATTGAGGGTACCTGTTGGGAAGAGCACTGGGTGTTGTATGGAAACCAATTTGACAATAAGTTATATTTAATATGAAAAAATGAATTAAAATTCCCAAAGTTATGGGAAAGTCCATGTATTCTTTATCTCCAACCAAAAATAAAATATAACTCACCAAGGAAAAATAAATAATAAGATAAAAATAGCATACATGTATTCTGATGACTATGCTCCATCTAAGCTCAGTGTTAATTAATACAAGATAAGAAATAACTCACCTTTGATTATTGTGAATAAAGCTAGCAGTGCATACTGTTATTATATAGTAATTGAGTTCCTATACTGTCAGACTTACATGTTGGATTAAATCATTCTGTGGAGGGTATGAGTTTCATTTCTGCACCAAACAGAAGGACAAATCAGGTCTTTGAACCTGGAAATGCTTATTTAATCCATTTACCATATTCAGCTTACTAAATAACAATGACAGATAAATAGTTTCCAGAATTTGCTGTGGAACAAATACCCACAAAATCTGTGGCATATAACAGTAAAAATGTATCTCTCATACACCTGGAGATTGGCTGAGATGACTCTGCTGATTTCAACTGAATTTGCTTATCCATTTGCAGGTCAGCTGGGGAACCTGCTGATCCAAGTTGGATTTGGTTGTGAGGTTCTGCTTCAATCTGCAAGTTGATCAGGCATCTCTGCTCCACATTTTCTTCATCCTCATTGAACCAACGAGCTAACCAGGGTATATTGTCATGTTGCAGCAAAGTCAGAAGACAACAAGCCCCATTGCACGAGCAAATTTCAGGTCTTTGTACTGCATCTGCTAATGCCCCATTAACAAAGTGGTGCAGATGGCCAACCCCTGAGTCTGTGGAGTTATATACTCTGGGAGAGTAGATGTTTTTGAATACCAATCTAATCTATTATCCAGAATGCCTGAACTCAACTCAGGAAAAAACAAGCAAGAGTTTGGGAAGGCTCAGGGAACAGTCAGAGGCTCTTGGTTAATATCACTTCCTTCATTGCTGTCCAGTTAACTCATGTCTGGATGACTGAGACATTTGGGATCTGGTCAGAGACCTATTCAAAGCAGCACCCTCCATATGTCCCTATGAGGTAAACCATGGTATAACATGAGGAGGGTCTGGGGATGCTTTTTCAGAGCCTACCAAGTTTCTTTGTTCTTAGAGAAACTCCTTTAGTTATGATTTAGGAAAGAAAAAGTTTAAAAAATTAAAAAAAATAGAAGAACATGGCTGTATAAATAGACCTTCATGAAAGTGTATGAGAGCTTCTTTAAAGAACTGACTAAAGGAGTGTTCAATTATTAATTTGCATAAGGAGACAAAGGCAGAAAGATAAGTGAAATCCAGTTTCATTTTTAGGACGTACTAGAAAAAGAAATCGTATACTTTCCTTTTCTTCAAATACTCAAGGTCTCAAACTGTCATGAACTAGAGGGCAAAATAGCTTACAACTCCAGCAATCTGCTTTCCCTGGGTTATGTTATAAAACAACTCCCAAATCTCATTTTACTGCAAGAATAACAAAATCATCCTTGTTCATGTTATAGTAACATTTTGGGGTCAGCGGTAGCCATGCTCCAGACTGTAAGTCTGATTCATCTCTCCATGGATCTTCTCAATCATGGGTCTAGGTTGAAGAAACACCCTGTGCAGGGACATGCTCATTCTTGTGGCACAGGCAAAAAGCAAGAGAGAAGGAAAATACACAAATGCATTTTGAAGTTTGTGATTATTGTGGAATATTTTAAGACCATTCAAATTTCATTGGCTGAAGAAAGTCACATAGCAAGACTTAGCATTCCTGGAGTGAGGAAATTTCCCTCCCATGGTAGAGGTGTGGAAAAGTACATATCTATGAACAATAATACAGTCTACCACAACTATATAACTTCTTTAGCTTCAGATGTCTCAAGTTCAAGAACAAAGGGTATTAATCTTTCCATAATACATAGCTCAAAGATGGTATTAAGCTCTTCAATAAACATTACTAATTTTTTTTTAGAAATGCATATGTACATGGAAAGTTAGTTACATGATATAAATATATATAAGGGATGTCAGAGGACTCCTTTGTTAAATGTTCAACAAAGGAATTGGCTGTTCCTTGATCTTCTTTTCTGATTCACACTGACTTAGTGGAAGAAATAAGTCTGCTTAGAAGTGGAGCTGTCCAAGTGTAGAGCCAATAACATTGGGTGTAGTAGGCTAATAGAGTGGCAGAGGCTGGAGGCCACTTAAAAAAACTATGGAAGCAGTTATAGTACTGGAAGTAATGCTGGCCTTTGGGTCACAAAATTTGTGGTTAATTACTCAGTCTAGATGAAGAGTTCACAAAACCTCAACTTGTGCCAATCTCAGCCAATATTCCTATTGTCTTTCACCTAGATGACAATGGCATTTTGGAAGCTTCTTTGTTTTTCTTTTTTTTTTTTTTTTTTTTTTTTAATTTTTTTTCAACGTTTATTTATTTTTGGGACAGAGAGAGACAGAGCATGAACGGGGGAGGGACAGAGAGAGAGGGAGACACAGAATCGGAAACAGGCTCCAGGCTCTGAGCCATCAGCCCAGAGCCTGACGCGGGGCTCGAACTCACGGACCGTGAGATCGTGACCTGGCTGAAGTCGGACGCTTAACCGACTGTGCCACCCAGGCGCCCCAGCTTCTTTGTTTTTCTTAATCATGTTATAGGTCTATGAAAAAAGGAAGGTCAAACCTCTGCTACCAGACGGACTAAAGGGACATACCTGGTTTGATCTAACTGGATCTGTGAGGAATAAAACCTCATTTTCCTTGTCATACTAAAGAATTGTCAAACTTGGAGATTACAATTTTCCTACTTGAGATTTTTTCTCTCTGCCTCAATCCAGCATGCATTCAGTACTGAACTGATAGATAAGGAAAAAGTATGCATCTACACATTCTTTCTTTGAAATAGACTGAGCACATGATCACGAATCTGTTTGGTCTTGATGCCATAAATGATGGGGTTGATCATGGGTGGAAAAAGAAGATAGAAAATAGCAAGGAGTATGTGGACATGAGGGGCAGCCTGGCGAGCCACACGGTGCATGACTGAGGAGATGACCACAG